CATGTGGGCCCTTTTAGAAAGAACAAATTGACCTCCAACTTCAGATTTAACTCAGTTTATGTTCCAGATAGTCTGACTTACTGGATCTAGACTTTGGGTATAAACCTCCGTACATTTTACAAAAGCTTTGTCTTCCCTCATCTGCCCGTTACTGTTTTCAAAACCCCCTTTACAACAACAACAATGTACACGGTGGAAAAGTTTTGCCAAAGATCTTGATCAGGGCTGCGAATTCAGACAGATCGATAGATTTGCTGCTTTATCAATTAATCGCAAATTGAGTGCAATGGACAATAGTCATAGGCTGATGTGTAACTGTGCTTGTAGACTATGGTCGGTATCCATTAACCATCATAGAAAACGTTGTCATGGTACGATTCTCAGTGGAGGGAAGTCCAGTCTTACTCGCATTATTTTTATAAATATGAATACATTTTAGAGCCGTTTTATTTTTCTATAGGCCTTTGTATAATGACATCATTCTAAGACAGACACTGAGTAAAGCACGAGCACCTTGTTGAGCCTCTAAAATTTGCAGTAAACGGTTTGAACAACGCTTTAATATGAGTTCTTTAACAACACCAGGGTTGCATCTGAAAGAGAACAAGCTAAAATGGTCTTCCATGCCAGAACAGTAGGTTGCATCAAAGCCAAACACTTGCCAGTTTACTTTCCTGCTGTGTTGTTTTCATCCTGGATCATGTTTTACCTCCTCGTGTCGCTTTGTTCTTCTTCACCTTCACCTTTAGATCTTCTTCGTTTTTGTTTCATGTAAATGTGCTCGAAGCCAGATTCAGAAATGACTGAATACGTTGATCACTTAGCCTGATTGACGTTTGGTTTAGTGAATCCTGGATTTGTTGAACCTGCTTCGCAGCACAGGCCACAGCTGCTGGACTGTTTTCAGCGTCTGTACGTTTAGCTGTTCGCTGACAGACGCGGGTTTGTTCTGAGCCTGACACGATTACTGAGGAATCTGTTGGTACGGTTTTAATTTATTTAATGCTCAAGGTTGTCTCTCGAATTTTTTTTAAACTCTGCATGCAAACAAGCTTTTAATCCTCCTCACACTTTAGCTGATCTGCCGGTTCTGAAGCACGATTTACACTCCGAGCACCTTGTTTTGAACATTTCTGTGAGCACTTTTTGGTAAAAACTGTGATCTCCATCGCATGACTTCATCAGACGTCGCACACCTCGAGTACTTTGGTATTTTCTACTCACCTCGCGCAGTCTTCGGAGCGACTTCCTGAAAGGAGAGTAGAACGTAGTTTACATCACCCGAGGCTTTAAAGGAGACGTTGGGCTGAATGTTGTCACACTGATGGTACATGGCTACCGTGTTGGTGGTGGTGGGATCCTCAGAACAAATGTGTTGAACTAAAATACTGTTGTTTTCCTTTGGTACTGTTGCCGTTTTTTTAAATACTGGATATGCACTGACAAAATAAACATTGTCATTTAAACCTCTGTGGTGTTTCTCATTTGTGTAATTTCCTTTTTCTCTGGAGGGACGACTAATAATTGTTTTTTAACTGTCAATTAATGTGAAAGTCTTTGTTTTTGTCCCTAAAATGATAGAAAAAAGTGAACAAAGCTTATTAGAAATGACCTTTTTCTCTAGTACAACAATGTAGAAGTAGTCTAAAGTAAAAGTCCTTTTTCAATAAGAGACTGCAGTATTTTCATATATTATACTTTTAATGTTTCACTTCAACATTTTATCAATTTGTATGGTTTAGAATTAAAAAACTAGCTAATAAATTGATCACATCATGAGTATAAACACACAATTCTGTCAAACACAGGAGTGTGAAAACAGAAATGTCGATAGCATTCTTACTTTTAAGACAGTTTAGTAAATGGTATAAAGTACAGCTCTTGACTGGGGATACAACAATTAATCAGTTGCTAACTATCAACTTTTTTTTTTTGAACGATATACTATACTACGGTTTTTATAATGACATACTATACTGTGGTGCTCTTTAGCAAAACACTATACTATGACCTTTTTTTAGTGACATACTAAATGACGTTTTTAAGCGACATACTATACTATGATGTTTTTTTTAGCGACATACTATAC